AAGAACATCACAGACGCACGGTGCTTTGGATGTGGAGCACATGCATGCATTTAAATCACGTGTATCTTACTTTTTTACTGATGTAATTGTGAAATATGTTCCTTTTGCATTCATAATTAGGGGGTGGAACAGATGGTGAAGGCTTAGTTTAAAATAATCTGTCATTAAAATAACCTAGCCTACTGGTAATTCTTCACTCTAACTGGAGTGAGGTCATAGGAAAAGAGTTTGGGGTGATTTTTTTTTCTCTTCTGCGTTGGAATGTAGAAGACAGAACCACTGATCTCAGAGTAGTTATACACATGAGAATTACCCCTATAAGGGCAAGGTGGTAAGATTTCACTCTGCGGGATTTGGCTGTTGTGGAATATGCAAAACAAAAAAGAGAGAGAGAGAGAGACAAAACTACTTTGACAAATATAAATCCATTTAGCACAAGGCATTAAACATTAGTATACCTTCAATCATGAGGCTGTGGTTAGTTTCATACCCTGTAAGGAAATAACCTCATCATTTGACAATACTATTAGAGACCCTCAGCTTTTGGGTTAAAAAACCGTGCCTTTTACTTTATATGTTATACTGATGTCAGGGGATATAAATTATAATTACAGGCATTATTATTCAGAGATGCTGTAGCTCCTGACTTCGGTATCCAAGCTTCCCTCCTGCATGTGTACCTCATAGACTTACCAGGATGTGACAAAGGAAATCTCCTATCAGCCCTGTCAGGATGGCTAAGAACTGGTTTTAGTAATAAGAAAACTGTCTTGATAAATCAGATACTAGCATGCCTTTAAAATGTCTGTTTTACTGTTTCTTCTAAGATTTTGTTCTCCATCTGCTTTGAGGGAAGCAGATAGATTTCAGCACGGCTTTATAATAAATCTTCTCAAGGAGGGACTAGCATTAACATTTGTGTAGGTTCTTTTTCATCTTAATCCAACCTTAGTTAATAATCAGAAAATTCTACATAGTGAGTAAGAAGATGTAATTAACCCTTTGACCTCAGAATCTTAATTGGCGCCTGTTGAAAACAGTGGGCAGTTTTAAAAAAAAAAATTAAAAAGTAGCCTGCAGTGATTGAAAAAGCTTGAAATGCAGTAGCTTTCTTGATTCAAAATTTTGACAAATTCCACAAAACTTTAAGATGAATCACATTTGGCTCCCAAGATGAACTGAATGTTTCCTTCTTCCTGTCACCTATTAAAACTGAGACAAACACATTCAGAACAGTATTGATGCTACTCTTAAAACTTTCCTAAGCAGCAGAGTACAGCTAACTGTGAACAGGGATGACCCTGAACCAGAAAGCAATGGCCGTGCGAAGAGCCACCTTGCCAATCTGCCACACACCTGGTTTCGTATCCCATTTCCTTATTTGAAAGGTAATCAAACCTGAGTTTTGGACCTTCATCTCACACTATAGCTATAACTGACTGACATGATAAATACAAAGGTAAAAAAGATGGCTAACTGCCCAATTTGTGTGTGTGTGTGTGTGTGTGTGTGTGTGTGTGTATGTGTTTACCTCTCTGATGACAAACAGCTAATCTGACTAGTTGTGTTCTTCCCACACCAAATTGGCTGTTATTTTTAATTGAATTGACTGGATGCTTTGTTTCATGTAGACATAGACTCATTTTAATCTCACCAGGAAATTGGAACATGTGTCGGAGCCTCTGCCTTGCCAAACAAAACTGGCCAGTTCTTAGATCGCTGCTGCTTAATAGCATCAGATGTTCAGCCTCCAGAATTTTTGTTTCCTTGCTAGGGTGCCCAAAAACCCTCTACTATTTTAGTAAATTCATGAGATATGAACCCAATGTTACAAAATCACGATCCCTTTGAGTAATAAAGTAAAGGTTGTCTGTGGATGGCACATGACCTGCACTAGATGTTTTGGAGAACAGCAAAAGAATCTAGGCTAACTCTGATTTTCCAAATGTCAGGAGATATCGCAGACTATGTTAGACATCTGTGGCATCAGAATCTTCAAATACTCTAATAGCTTCATAAACAGGACTCTTGCAGAAAATAATTTCCGGGGCGCCTGGGTGGCTCAGTCGGTTGAGCGTCCAACTTCAGCTCAGGTCACGATCTCACGGTTCGTGAGTTCGAGCCCCGCGTTGGGCTCTGGGCTGATGGCTCAGAGCCTGGAGCCCGCTTCCGATTCTGTGTCTCCCTCTCTCTCTGCCCCTCCCCCATTCATGCTCTGTCTCTCTCTGTCTCAAAAATAAATAAACATTAAAAAATTAAAAAAAAAAGAAAAGAAAAGAATTTCCATCTTTCTTAGTCATTCTAGCATATGTGATCTAAGGGAAAGAGCATTGAGCGTGGAAGTGAACTGGGTTTACTAAGTCTTGGCTGAGCAGTTGTTTGATGTTGGCCAGATAAAGATGAATAAGACATCACCCCACTGTTGAGAAACCCAGTCTCCTTGGGACTTGAATAAGCCAACCAGGACCATACAACGTCATGAATACTTTAACCACACTATCGGCATGCAGCAGATTTAGTGCTAGGTTTGCCACTGGATGACTGTATGATCTTGTCCAGCCACTTAACCTTTTCTGTGCCTCGGCTTTCCAACCTGTACAATGAGGGTTTAGAGAACAGGAGGTTGTCTCTGTGCTAGTTCCATCAGTCCTTTCTTCTCTCAGTCAGCCTTGCAACTGTCATGTGCGTGCATAAGAAGTTCTCCTGCGTCTCTCTCTCTCTCTCTGTCTTTCTATTCTGACAGCAGCACTTTAAGGTTTGAGAAGATGGGTTCACACAACTCTCTATAACTGTATGCCAGGGCATGGCCATTGGGTTGAGTGGAAAACCTGTCAAGGCCCTGTTCTCCATGGGAGGCTTAAAGGGGGAGGATCCTAATCTTCATGAGTCATCCTCAGAAGACCTCTTGTGTGAGGTAAAGACATTTTGATGAGATCTTTCCCAAATTTCCACAAAGGAAACTTCTTTCCCTTTGCACTGGTTCAAAGCAAGATCACACAGTGCCACACAGCAAACTTGAAAGGTTGGATCTCACGAGGCTCTGGAGGGGGTGACGGTTTTGTCAAAGGGAAGGAGTCCACTAAGTATTTTGTTCCCTGTCCCTTAGCTGATTCCAGGAGAAATATTACAGAGCAAGGTGACAAGGTAACCTCTAGTGGAAGTGACTTGTAAACTCTCCTGTCATCCTACCTCCTACCTATCTTCTAACGGTGGGATTCTGTCATCTGAACAAATCTTTCAAAATGAAGTGACGATTTTTCAGTCATAAGCTGCATCTTAGTGTGGTTCAACTTCACAAACGCTGTGACCATTTCTTTCCATTGACTTACACATATTAGTTACATAACCTTTGTTGTGAGTGGGGGCAGTATTGTTATTAAGTCCAACTGTCAAAGTTCAAATCCTCACTCCATCACTAACTAGGGCAGACATGTCACCTGCCTTCGCAAAGCCTCGATTTCCTTGTGTATAAAATGTAGATAATAATATAATTACCTCAAATGATACTTGTGAAAATTCAAAGAGATAATACATGCAAACTGCTTAGCACATGTTGCTTAATAAATGGACGGTATCCTGACCAAAAGCTTGCCTATCATGTAATTTGTAATGTAATCATGTAATGTGACTTTTGAAATGTTTTCAGAACCCACCTAATCAGAGGAGGAGGTTGGACACTACCCACGGTCTCTGACCATTGGGACTGTGAAAACGGATCAGGAAGCCTGGAGTCCAGATGTCACACACATACACACACACGCGTGCGCACGTGCCCACACACACGTTCACATAGACATACACACTTAATACATATATAAATATATATGTATTTGATATAGATATTTGGAGCTCAAAGAGTTCAGTATTTTAGGAAACTGAAACTATTGCTGAGATATGAGATGATCCATTTCTCTACCAGAATTTTATATGCTTCTTCCACCTTTATTTCAAAATTACACCATTAATTTAGTGTTGCCACATACCTTGATCTCAGAGTGGGTTTCCTGTCTTTCCCAATTCTCAGCCTTTGTAAAAAACCACGAATCGTGGAAACTTCTTTTTCTGTGCAAGCATCGCTTGCGCAGCCTACCTGGTTAGAGACAAATAAAGGGAAACAAAAGACCTAAGGGGGGGGGCGGAAGGTATACAATGCACTTTGATCGCAAGCATTTGAAACAAATGTGTTCGCTGTTTGAGTGCTGGATTGCAGTTGGAGTCCATGACGATTTACACCACTCGTCACACTGACAATGCAACCTCCCTTTGGAAAGTGGGCGAAGGTTCCAGAAGCTACAGATGATGTAGAGAATCCTTCTCTCCCCACTCCTCTCCTTTTGTTTCCATTTCAGGAGGTGTAATAGAAACCAGGTCTATCACAATAAAACTTGAATATAGAGTTTTGAAGAAAAAAAAAGGATTACAGTTTGTAAGGTTTCAGCCTATAATCATTCACCCATAATGTATTGACTTTTTCTATTTGTTCTACCACAATAGGCGCTGAGAGTGAGAAGGGCATAATCCTTTATTAATTAGCAAATTATTGATGTCCACAGTAGTTCCAGTGGTGATTTTACTTGCTCTTCATATGGGGACCCTTTTTCCTCTTGTTTCATTACAGTTTCCATTCCTGTTCAGCTATTTAATGGAGAATCTGGCTGATTTAATCTCTTAAACTACTGAATCCACAAAATAAAAATAAAAATAAAGGCAACAGCTCATAAAATCAGCACGACCTGATCTTGTACACGAATATGATGTATCTTGGTCAAAATGACAGAGACATAAGGAAGTCCTTGAAATAAAGGAAAGCTTGTGGTCTTAATTTAGGCCTTTAGTTTGTTCACGTACAGGGCCCTAGTAGAAGATCTTAGGACTTCGGTTAAACAGGAAGAAAAACATGGTTTTAAATTCAGTGTATGTTGCTTTGTATCAGATGCCCTATTCATTAAACCTCCGGCATATGTGTATTAACTTAATTATATATTTATTTTTTCCTGCAGTCCCTGGATGGCTTTGTATTTGCACTAAATCAAGAAGGAAAATTTTTGTACATTTCTGAAACCGTCTCCATCTACCTAGGCCTCTCACAAGTAAGTAAAACAATTTAGATTCTCGACAGAGATTGTGAAGCCTCCTTCGGCCTTGTGCTTTTCCTTCTTCAAGGGGTATTCTGTTTGGTGTGAATTATCACATGTATTCTTTAATGGCTCTGCCTGACTCTTCTTGCAAAGTCGGTGAGAAAATTCTGTCAGTTCGAAACGTTCGGAATAAACTTGTACTCAAAAACTTTAGTTCCCCCCCTCCCCGCCCCCCCCCAAGGATCATTATTAATTTATTGAGAACAAATGAAGTTTCTTCCCTCAGTTGTTTTGAACTTTGAAACCTCTGTGCCCGGTAGGAGAGGGACACACTAATAGTGCTTCCCTTGTGTCCTATTACTGGATGTTTATGGAGTACCCTGCATTATCCTGGGAGCTGACACAATGACAGGAGTCATTTGGAGTCAAGAAATGCTGAAAGAGACCATTAAAATGTGTTGCAGGGAGGGTCCCAGCAAGGATCTGTTTTGCTGCCTTTGCAAATGCTTCCTAACGCTGAAAGGCAATTTCATAAAATAAGATAGCCTTTCGTTATGTGCACTTTAATTACTCGTACGTGTCTGTCAGAGGTTGAAAACAAAGAAGATGGAGGCAGCTGAGGTAAGGGACAAAATCCTAGATGTCCGTTCTTGATATTCCCCTGGAACACAAAAATTTTACTTCCGTTGGATTCCAGGACATAGGTTGCATCTACAGAATGCCAAAATCCCCTGAAGAAAAGTTGGCGATTCCACTAATTATCCAGATGTTTTGGTTTTTTTTTTTCCTCTCGTAAAAGTGCCGAACATCTGGATACTTGTGCCCATACAGGTGATTGGCTGAGTCTGACCCTTTTCATCTGGTGATTTGGCATGAGGAAAACACAGCCTCGGTGGGAGGGATTTTGTGTGTATGTGATGATCTGCCAAGTTGGATAATCTACTTCTCATTCAGTTGCCCCTTGGAGCTAAAGATGGAGATAAGAGTTGTCTCTCTCCTCTTAAGCAAGACCCACCCCAGACTCATTGCTTCCGCAAGTTGGCACTGCTCTAAGGAGGCACCCAGCACGGCTGGAACATTTTGGCTGTTAGTGGGTTTGCTGGGTAATAGCTAAATTGAGAAAGACACTGGGAAATAATAAAGAAAGATATTTGGCATTTGAGGAGGTCTGGAGGAGGGGGAGGGATGCTGCCAAATGTGATTATTTACTGTTGAGAATCCAAGCAAGGGTCCATTAACTCTTCCTTGAAGAACGCGCGAAGCTATTGGCTATAGTTTACAGAGTAATTCTATTTTATGTGGGTTTCAGCAAACCAAATGATAGAAACTGGGCTATTGTTAACTCACTGTTAGCATTCTTGCATCTTATTGAAATTTCTGGTTTTGTAATAGCCTTTAATAGACTCTAAGCCTCATCTTAATCTGTTTAGGACCTAGTTTTGAGAATCTTCAGTTTTGAAACGGGTGTGCCCACTATGTGAGTATCTTACAGGACTGGAAACACCACTGTTTGTTGTCCTGCGATGCCCATATTCATCTGTTTTATGCACAGTATCCAACAAAGTTTAATAAGCCAGTGAAGAAGAAGGATGAATAATTAGTTTAAGCAGGTAAATGCTAATTAGGAAACTCCTGAAAAGCATCCATTATATACTAGCTCAAAACACATTTTACAGCCCTGGTTAGTGGTGTAATCCAAATTCTGTCAAGGCAACTGCATTTTCTGTAATTGAGATGTGTATGTTTGCTTTGCATAACAGATGGCTCTGTATGCTTAGACTGATAGCTAGGAAAATAATAATTGCATTATTCTGGCCAAAAGAATATTAGCTCTTGGGTTTTGGCCATTTCAGTCAGTCCTCCTGCCAGCACAGCATATGCACATATATGGATTGGATTTTCAAGGAAATTGATGCATCTGGAATAGTGTGGCCATCTGAAATATCATCTGTTCAAGAAAGATTTGGCTTTAACCCTGTGCTGGGTTCTCCTTAAAAGCAGTATATTTCACTGCTTTTCTACTGTAACATTAAGTCAATCTTTTCTTAAAATCTGAAACAAATAATTGAGGTTTCTGCAGAGTAAAGCAGCTGTGTAGACGTTTTGCAGCAGGTGGCACGTTCTGTCCGGTCATTCCCTGCTTCTTTTATGGGATGGGTTTTACAGTGTGGATCAGTAGTCAGCAAGTCAGCATCTTGACTTAACCAGGGGCAGACGCCAGCCCCAACGTGCTGTACCCTCAGTGGTAGATGGGTTCATTGTCGCCAGCAATGGTGGAGACTACGAGGTACAAGACAGAGGTCTTCAGTTGGAGGCACTGTGCAAGTGAAATGGTGAAGGGTCCATCACGAGAAGGTGACATTTGCAAATGCCGATGTAGGTGTTAACATTGAAAACTAAAGTTGAAAAACACTTCTGGATTAATGTGAAAATAATCTGCTAAGAACATGGCCTGTTTTTAAAAATTAATTCTCCAACTTTGGGAAGGAATTTCCAACCCAGTAAATGTTGTGTTCTCAGTCCCAATAGGGTACTTGAGACTTAACCCTTTCCAACTTTCTTCAGTGACTTCTTGAAGTTGCTGGGTCACGGGGTACTCATGGGGGACATACGATGCACAATGTACTCACAGTTATTTGGTTAAGTAAATACTTAATTTTTTACACATGAGCGCACACACACGCAGACACACACAAACACGCCCATAATTGAATGCTAACCAAATGTGCTATTTGTAACCTACAACTTTGGCTCAGAAGTTATCCCGTGAAATTCTAGACAGAGATAAGGAGTCTGTGAAATTATGGCCCCTCCGTTTCTTTTTAAATAGTTTCATTAAATAAAGGCGATGTATGGCTGTATCACCAAAGATGTACCCAGTCAAACTGTTAAGGAATATTGTGAGCATGCCAGTTCGTTAGAGCATAGTTATGCCTACATTTGTAGCTCTCAAAATATCCCTTCCTCAGTTTTATATTCCTTCAACATGTAAATAAATATGGTGCCTTTAAAGTGGCTTATGTCCAGGAAAGAATTAAGATTTTATTTTGACTCATGAGAAAATTAAGTAGAGAGACTTGTCCTGAGCTCTGTTGTATAGCATGAATATAGAGACAATCAGAGTGGGTTTTTCCTCTATACTCTGTTGAGTGGAACAGCTCCTGGTTTCCAGCATGTATGTGTGGCAGTTATTCTCTGTAAAGTCCTTTCATGTTATCATGATGGCAGGAATGAAGGGATCCGTGATGATGTTCAGACCAATTCAGCAGCCCTTTTGACTCTGCCAGAGATATATATTTAAAGCAACATTCAAGGTGTGCTTTCAGGTTGTAGAAATATGCACTGTTGGAGTGCCAGGGTGGTTCAGTGAGTTAAGCATCCAGCTCTTTATTTTGGCTCAGGTCGTGGTCTCACCATTCGTGAGTTCAAGCCTGCTTGGGATTCTCTCTCTTCCTCTCTCTCTGCTCCCCTCCATGCTTGCTTTCTCTCTCTCTCAAAATAAGTAAATAAACATTAAAAAAGAAATAGAGGTGCCTGGGTGGCTCAGTCAGTTAAGTGTCTGACTCTTGATCTAGGCTCAGGTCATGATCTCACAGTTCGTGAGTTTGAGCCCTGCATCGAGCTTTGCACTGTCATTGCAGAACCTGCTTGAGATTCTCTCTCTCCCTCTCTTTCTGTCCCTCTGCATCTCATGCTGTTTCTCCATCTCGGAATAAATAAACTTTAAAAAAAATTAAATAAAATAAAAAGAAACATGCACTGTTGACTTACTTCCCTAGATAAAGATGATTCCTAGTTACTCACCATGAAGCCCTATCTTAAAAAAAAAGAGCCCCAAATATCATTAATGAGTTTGGTTTGCATGGGATTTAAATGCCTTCTTATACCTGGCAGATAGCCTTCAGAGCTACTAAAGACAGGTCTAATCCATAGGTATAATGGAATAGGCATAAGTGAAAATGAAGAAAGAAAACAAAGTGTATTCCCTAACACTGAAAATGTAATAATAATACATAGCCTGATTTTATGAAATCTCTTCCGGTATGCCTGGGGCTTAATTGTCAACGGATCCAAAAGAGACTTAATACGATAAATTTTAAAAAATGCTTGTTTGATATAGGACCTAAAACTTGGAGAAATATTAATTTGTTGGCTTATGTCCTCCTCTTTCCACAAAGAAAATAGCTTATATAAATGTATATAATTAAAAAAAAAGACAATGGCTAAACAGAGCTAAGGTATAAGGAAAAAGAAAAGACAAAAATAAGTCATTTGTTACCACATAGTAGGAGCACACAATAGAGTCTCTAAGAGGGTTATAAGTGATCTGATAAAGCTTCAGATTTATCTGTGAGCTTCCTGGTAACCAAAGCAAAAAAAGGAAATACAGCCATTCATCAAAAAATAAGGAAACATCACTTTTTATGGAAAGCAAAGTTTTTCTGGGACTGCAGTATAATAATAAATCTCAAATACGATCTCCATGGCGGCTAATATGTGGATTATGACATGTTGATTTGCTTCCATTGGAGTTCACATCCAGAGCAAGGCTGTGTGGATCATATAACAAACATGAACAAACATATTTCAAATTTCATGAGCAGACAGAGGACTCTTCCCACCCCCTCAGGTGGTGTGCCAGAGATCATTTTGAGAGTGATTTTCTGATATCCAGGTCTTATAATAGCATTGACTAATTTGATGTTTTATGTGCTTTTATAAATCAGCTTTCCCTCACCCAAACACAAATCCTGCATTTACTCTTAAATACTGATGAGAACTTTAACATTATAGTTGCCAGGGGCAGAGGACATGGGTCCCAGTTAACCAGAGGATAAAAATGGACTTACATTTTTTTTTTTAATTTTTTTTTTCAACGTTTATTTATTTTTGGGACAGAGAGAGACAGAGCATGAACGGGGGAGGGGCAGAGAGAGAGGGAGACACAGAATCGGAAACAGGCTCCAGGCTCTGAGCCATCAGCCCAGAGCCTGACGCGGGGCTCGAACTCA